GTATAAAACTTATTATTTACCTGTTACTCAGTAATTAATATAGAATTTAAATAAAATAATTTGGAAACAAAATTTTATTCTTTTAACTTTGGGATTCATGATGTAACTCATTTAAATGATAAATAATTTTTTTAATAGAAGGTATGAAGATTAGGATTGCGTGGCCTTTTGTGTGGTCGCAGTCTCCTTTCGTTGTATAGAATTTGTTTGACCTTGTTTTCGCAACTTGATCATATTGGTAGAAAGGCTTAGAGGAATGCACCTAGTACCACGTCCACGGTCCTACTCTGCAAATTATCGTGCACACAATAGACACCGTACTAGGTGCTTTCCTCTAAGTCTTCCTACTAATATAGCCAAGTTGCTAAAACGAGGTCAAACAAATTCAATAATTTTTTACTTGATCATAGGCATGTTTACTACCACTTACTTTAACACTATATGACTATGGTGACTATTTTCTGGGAGTAATTTTACGCAAAGTGACGTTTGATTTATTTTACAAGCCAGAATATGCCTTTGCTTTCAAGGAGGTTGCTAAGAAATTTTATGCACTGGCTACTAATGAGTAAAAAACGTGAGCAGAAAGGTATATTCTAGTTTGTTGTTTCGCATTTCCGCAATTATCGGTAGTAAATCAAATTCATATAGCTTATCATAACATTCAACCACCACCCATGATTTTGGCTTTTATCATATGCGATTTCACTTGCAAGAATTTGATTAAGCACAAACAAAGTGAAAATTGACTCTATTATTTTCTTAAAGATTCTTGAAAGCTGCATCAAGAGTCCAATCTGACCTAGTTATGTCTAGCTTCCATACTGGTACTTCATTTACAAGTAATGAATTTTCTTGTATCTAAATGATTTCAAAGTCAGCATGCCAAATAGCATAGTGGAGATAGTTTAACTACAACTCTTCATCTAAACTAAGAAATCGAGAGAATTATTTCTTTAAAATGATCAATGCGACATGATAAGGATAAATATTTTTCCTATAATTAAAATGATATTTCAGCTAATATGATGCTTATCCATTTTTAAAATTAAAATTAAAAATATTATTTTGTCATTCACTTATAAATCAATCATAATCATTGTCCAGGCTATCTTTATCTCTATATTTGTCTAAATACAAAGTTTAGGATGAAGAAATTCAGTAATAGTTTTATGCATGTATGTCATAAGTTTCTTAATAGTAAATTAATGCTAGAAACCTCTTGATGTATATGATAACAGTTTGATTTATAGGTTCTTAATACGATCGATAATTTGACATAATCTTAGTCCAGGAGATGGGTTATAGCATTTATAGCTTTGTCGTTTTGCTATTCTACAAGTAATTGTATGATCACTTACAGGAATCATAAGACTTTTCTTTTTGTATCGTAGAAGTTTCGAAATTTCCTGTGATAATAAAATATATGCTAGTGATAATGGCTTATGTAACTATGAGCGTCAATGGGTTTGAACCCGCTCGAGACAGAGATCAGACCTAAGTGACTTTGAAGATACAATCCGTTACGCATGAGCACACATTATGGGTTTTAAGGTGTGGTTAAATAAAATGGCACAATCTTACTATTCAAGCACATAATAACTTTTCACTTGATTCCAACTCTGAACAAATAATCAGTCTCATATATATATATATATGGGATTTATTTACCCTATTTCATTAAGATGATGGAGGACTAGTAGTTGGATTTCCTCACAGTAAAATGAATAGGACTTATATTTTGATTTAATAGCATATAGCCTTGATTTCTATAAAGATATTAACATCCAGGGTAGACCTCACCTAGGTCTCGACACTTTAATCACTACGCCATACTGCTTCGACTGACCTTGAGTCACAGGGCAGATGTGAATTTCAAGGAAGTTAAGCTATTTTCCTGTACCACATTCCGTGGAGGGTTTGTCAATGAAGCTACCTTGTATTTGCTATAACGATCAGTAACATTACTTTTTTCCTTAATTAATTGTTTTTCGATACTACCATTAATAGTCAACTTTCCGAGATTATAAGCTGCATTGTCACGATTCGAGTCCCTCTGGGGATACGGAGGAGACCTGGGCGAGGCTGAAATCACAATCCATCCTGAGTGAGGTTACCCTTTGGAAAACAAGACAATGGGAAATGCAATGGAAATGTGAGGCCTATTCGTATCATTTTGCGAGAATGCAACTGCCAGTCCTTCATCACCCCAATGAAACGAGGTGATAGTCTCAAAATTCTACTTATCAATGGAATACCACTCCGAGTAGTTAATACGTCAAATTATGATTGTGCCTATAGTATTTAAATGATCTTTCGAGTTAATGCTCTTAGGTCAAGAAGAATGCCAATGTTGAGTGTAAAAATAATTAGATAGTATGCTGAAAATCTTATGTGCCTACAAGACAGTTTGCCTGCTTTCTTGCATCTTCCAGCCGTCGGCTACTGTAGGCCGACATGACCCTTTTCTTGCAGGGCTACGACTGGATTCCGTCGAACTCCGCCTTAGGCCAGATTGGTTCATTGACCCCTTACGGTACGTCATCGCCTCAGCCTGTTCTGTTGGCTCACCGGCGAAATTTGATTGTTCTGCTAAGTATTCCCCCTCCTCTTCTTCTACCTCAGATGTTGTTGTGGTAGTGGTCGTCGTGGCAGTTGTTGGTGATATCACCAGGGACGTGGCACGCCAATGGTCAAGAGGCCGAACTCGCTGATTCAAATTAACCTCAGAATATCGGCATAATGAAACCCGACTGGTCTGTGGCACCTCCGTCAGCGTAGTGGCGTGGGGCTGCCAAGTTAAATGACTTAATTCCATATCATCCTCTTCGACTCGTGACTCTTCTTCTCGTTTTGATTCTTCTAGCTTTCGCTTCATTCGTTGGCCCTTTTCTCTGAAAAATATAACGGTTTGCGATAAATTCGATATTGTAAGCTTACTTTTAGCTTATAAAGTTAATAAAATAGTATGGGCAAAATATGATTAAGAACATGTCAATGAGTCATTTAGGATATTTCGAGCCAGGAAATCAGCTTCACGAAGAAGAGCTCTTTAGACTTAATCATAAATTCATCATAAAATTATTGATACGACTACACTATTAAAGTTACCCATTAAGAGAACACCTTTTACTTAATCCCAAATCAATCTAGTTAATTCGCCAGCCTAAAATTGCTGCCTATTGTGGCATGAAAAGACGTTCGCTATTCACCCGATGATAAGGATATTTTCTCGTGGTGTTTTGTTGCTGGTATGTTTTGTTGCTAAGTATGTCAAAATTCAACAGACATGGGTGGCACACAGGCTTCTAATTGCTACTATTTTTCGACAGAGATAATCCTTCAATATTAAGTTTTATTATAAAGTATGCCTTCATACACCTTATTACTCAGAGCTTCCTCTCAATGCCTACTGGCTATTTAAGCTTCTTGTAAAACTTCCTCAATGGTTGAAGTAATGACAGAGCGTGCAAGTCAAGTAGTGCACTTCACGATTCTCGCTTAAAAGGCGTAAGACTAATTTGGTTGGCCGTTATTATTAAACGGAAGCCTTGACTTTGATAGATCTTGCTCAAAAACAGATGGTACATTATGACTTCACTAAAGAATGCATTTACCAAATTTACTACTAACTTTCCTTACTCATAAACTCCCATTTATTTAAATCAAGTTAATGAAAACTCCTGGCTGGCGTAATATGCATAAGCGTGGTGCATAGCATTATTAATCATTGCATAAAATGGATCTTACACGGTAAGCCATGTACTCGAAATATTCATTCGGTTAGCCTTAGGCCCATTCTTCTTGTCCCAATCCGACCGCAAGCACTTTGAGGTATCGTACGGGCAAAGACTGCATAGGCGAGTGCGCCGACAAAGAGCATGGAGTAGATATTCGCTGAGGGATTCAATCCTTCTCTCAGTAAATTCATCTATTTGAGTTGTTTTTTCTTGTATTTCTTGTAGCAACTCATTCTCCTCACGCTGGTGTCTCTATAATTAATCAGGGGAGATTGTGTACTAAGAAGGCTTCAGGTAATTTTGAAGTAAATAAGTATAACAAAGATAGCCTACTTCTATTTTAGGATTTGAGAATTTATAAACCAGATATATACGCATCTGTATAGTTGATCAGCATAAAAAGGATTCACGATAATACTCCTATTAAACACACTTTAAAATAGCCTTTCAAATAATTAAAATGATGTATGCGAATCCAGTTAAGCGCATGATTGCTGTAATAGATTTTCACATCAGGCAGTATAAATTTATGTATTCAAATAGTATATAATAATTTAATCAAGCCTTCATTTTAAATAGGATAGAGATAGTCCGTCGTAGGAAAACAAGAAAAGTAGATATTTAGGAGAGAGTATAAGCTAAAATAATTTTCACTGCGCAAATTATACTATAAATCCGAGTAAAAAGGCATGTTATTAATTTTTAAAAATCTGATTAGGTGCTGGCGTCACAAGCTAGTGTTTAGACTCTCAATAAACTCCAAGTCTCTACGGTTGTGAAAAGTAGTGGTCAAATTTTCTTTCACCAATCTATATTAGATTCTTTTATAAGATTAACTCCTTTGTATTTGTTGTGATCTAACTTAAATTAAGGGGAAACTGAATTCTACTGCAAATAAATTAATTGCCAGCTTTTATTGAGCTAGGTACCAAATTATGTAACTTGAAGCCTTCCCGAAATTTTTATCATACCACATTACTACTAAAACAGAAAGCATTCTGTTTGAATGAGAAAATTATTCTGAATGAAGAGCTATAGGCACAGTTTTATAGAATAACACCAAAATGAGTGATAAATTTCAGTTGGAGGGAATAATGCTTTTCATTTCCTGAGTTAAGAAACTCCACAAAATATTTTTACCAATCCAAGCGCAGTTTAACGATTATTTGTCTCAATGTTCAAGAAATGTATTCATTTACTTGACTTCCCATTACTTTGCCACACATGATTTTTAAAAAAACCATTATTCTTTCGGCCTGATTGCTAAATTAGTTAAAACAAAGGGATTTATTTTCTCGAAAAGTAAGTTTTTAACACATTATAATTATATGCGGTCCTTCATGCTTACTTTTTAATAACAGTTGGAATGCACCAAAGCTTAATTTATATGAACTTAATCATAAGGGTAAATGAATTCGATAGAGTTCTTGCAAGTAAAACGTTTCCTTCAAAGAAATGTAAATACCTGGTCAATTTCGTCTTTCACGCGAGCTATTCCTGTTTCGACGGCTTTCTCCAGTATGTCCTTCTGCTTTTCCTCAAAACTTGCCAAGATCTGAAAAATATACCCCACGAGAGCGATTTCTTAGCCATTGCTGATTTACCATAAATCACCATATGATAAATTATGAAAAACTGATTGACAGGCTATACGCTATTTATCTTCAATACTTACAAATGTTTTAGTTTATAACACTGGCAGAATTGAAATTTTGTACTCGTGGATAAATTCAAATATTTATCATACTCTATAGATTTTAGACTTGCTCCATCAATATTTGGTTTGATATTATTAATTTTAAAAATTTACCGTTCCGTCATCCTCTTTATATAAATATTTTAAAGTAACTCCAATCATCAAAAATATTACTAGGTTTAAATGATGATTTGCTTAGAATAGGGCCCATTATATAGGATATTAATAAATGGCTGTCATATATAATAGATATATCGCATTTAAAAACGCAATACTCGAATCTACTGAATAGCTGTAGGCCCTAAAGTTACCGAAAGAGGTTTTAAATTGCTTATGAGTTAACAAGTTTGGGGGCTTTTTTGGATATAGATAATTTAAGCAATGTTTATGACAGAAGTTAGGGCAGTATATGGCAAACTCGTTCGCCATAAAACAGATATCTATGCCTAAATTAGAATGTATATTTATGTATCTGCTAGTAGAAAATCAGATGTACTGATTGAGAATTGCCTGTTTTTAAAGTAAATATAAATACGCAATCAATAGTTAGAGTACTAAAAGCTCTTATATTTACTCTCTTCTTTCAAAAATTCCAGAAATAAGGAAGGACTAATAAACTGGCTAACGAGAAATCGGGACACTTTATCTGTTAAATTAAAACTAAAGCTATACTTATCAAATGACGCGGGTTTGAATTATATGAGGGAACTAAAAACCTGTGTAATCAATCCCTAATTCAAAGTTTTTCATAATTATTCGATTTCGTACCAAATATTATATCAAAAATTGATTGGTAATAAATTCACTACTACGCATTTTGGAAGTTATAGCAGGAAAATGAAAAATTTGAAAATCATGTAAAGAATTAAACTTTTGATGTTCCCCAAATTGTTCTTGTGCTAATACATAATAAGCTCACCAGAAAACTCTGCGAGGGCCTTTAAAGGCTAAGCTTTTTGCTTAAACCTAACATGAATTATTAAGGACAGCAGTAAAGTCTGAGTTGCGAGTAGCATGAATCGGTGTACCAAAGTGGAAAAAGTGACGGTAAAATCACAGAATGCGCCTTCAACTAAACCAGATCTATGTGAATTAAATTGAGTCATGCACATAAAAACGAAACGTGGACCGCCCATCATAAAAGGATGCTCCATTAACATCAAAATACATATAGGCAGATGTCTATGTGATGATAATCTGTAAACGAGTAGCTAAGACTAACCATTTGCAACTAATATTAAGTTGCGATTCCTCTGAAGGGTGTAGAATTAAGTGAAAGGGGCGTGGGAGAATGCTCAACTAAGAGGGATAGCTTAAGGAGAGAGAGATAAAGGGCTGGCGGTCATACAGATAATTACAAGCTCATCAATTTCGAAACTTATTTCTTCTAGATAATGACAAATTATTTATGTCTCTATTCAGTGTGTGCATATAAGTGAAATTGAGCCATGGAATAATCATTAATGGTGTAACTATCTGCAAATTCGTTACTAGAATGTTGGACATAATTTAACGCCTTCAAATTTATGAGAAAACATGCAAAAGAATTTGTAGAGAACAGTCTGAGTCTACCTGCCCAGCTTCTTCCTTTTGACGTTTTATCTCATCCGAATGTGAATCTTGACAAGATTGAAGCTCGTTTCTATATCTTATTTGCTCATCGTGGCAGTATTTTCGTAGATCTTCTGCATCCTGAAGGTGAAAAAAATATTTGTGCTGATACACATTCATGTCAAAGTAATATTCTACATAGTGCTTAGATGCACAGATTAAAATAGACCCAACTACTCATTGTCAGCAATGTTGCACATTACATTTAAGTA